AAAAAAAAAAAGAACTCATAGCCTTTTTAATATTAGTATGTATTATGAAAAATCATAACCTTCTTTAAAAGGTAAAATAGCAAAACAAAATCGCATTTGCAAGTTTGAACATTTCCACCAACCAATTCATCCATTATTATTACATTTTTCGCTAGCTAACTAACTCTTGAAGAGGACTTTTGTCCGGTGATGTTATTAATTTTTCACGATTTAACTAGTGTGCTAAAACAATTTTTTATTTTCTTTTACTTATCAGTTCAAATGGTTTCCACTAGTAAGAGACACATTTATCGTTAGCTACAGAATTGATAGAAAGATCTACACTTAAAATGCCCTACGAATAGATCATGTTATAATGTGGAATTACAACATAATTGAAGCAACCGTGATGCTTTCAAAACTAACACTTGCATATATTTTACTTTGTTCTCTCTCTACTTTTCCATCTACACTATTTTAGTCTGCAGTTGTAAGAAATAACGAACAACGAGCGACATACCTTCACTATCACGTCAATTGCTGAAGGAGACAATTTGTATATTGAACTAAGCATTTCATTGGATATCCCCTGTTTGCCTGATAGTCGTGATCCTGCATAGAAAAAGAAGTATTATAGTAACCAACAATAATGGGAAATACAATCGTACAACGATATGATACCAGAAATACAGAGAGAAAACTTGCTGGCATATAGCCACAGTTAATTAGGCTGTGGCTCATGTTACTCTACCTATTTCTAATACGACGAATGCCCGCCAGAATTTCTGTTGCATGGTGCACCTTTGAATACTCCGGCTTTTTCTTGTGCCCCAAAAGCAAGTTTGAGTACCTTAGAAATGTCTCGAGTTCTTGTTCAATTTTGTCGAGCTGTTGATCTATGCCTTTCATGAAGTCATCATAGGTGTATACATTGTTTGCACCAGTCCGTCTTTTGTCAACAATAGATTCCTCATTTTTCGACTCACTCTCGGGAATAATTCGCAGCTCTTCTTCTTCTTCTTCTTCTTGACATTGTAGGCTATTAAGATCCAAGTGTTGATCGTCATCAGAAGTAACTGAGTTTTCCTTTGTTGGTGATACAATTCGAACGGGGCTGGTGGCCTCTGTCTCACTTGCATCATGATCCAACGCCATATTCTCAATTAGTAGAGTTTCCTTCATGGAAATTACCTGATACCAAATAGTATCTTCAGAAGAAAGTTTTAGATACAAGCCATTTGAGGCAAGAGCATCATATCGCCAATTAGCATACGAGGCCCCCAACAAAACCATTTATTCAATTTCAAATTTGTCTTTCATTTCTAAGGTAATGTGACTTGCACTAATCTAAAGGGATCAAGCATTGCATGTCGTAATTGGCGATTAATTTACAATTAATGCCAGATGTCAAAGAAACTGTCCTGCCCGTATTTTCAAGTGCTAAGTGTCACACTAAGTACTTTCTCAACTAGCAGAATCTGAACAAGAAGAAATATAGTTGTACCTCATTCAACTTTGCAGATAGCTCATCTAGCAATTCAATACGACTCTTCAGCTTCTCCATGGCCTGCGTTACCTTCTTTTTTTGAAACAGCAACTCCCTAGCATCATACTCCTTTCCAGTTTGGACACTAACTGCTGCTTGTCGTCTAAGCTTTTCAACTGCTTCAGACAAGCGCATGAGTCTCAACCTTGCATTATTGGCTAGAAACACAATTGTTTGTCAGTGTTTTTCACAGGTGAACTCTTTAGCAACACATACCACGAAAAGGGCATTGATAGAAAATTCTATGATCCGAACAATCAGACAAAATTAATACGTTAACCTTAAACATAAATATTTCACCAGAAAGGATATATTATATACACTTGCCTGAACTTACATGTATTCCGAACTTCCCAAATACAATAACACTGTCCTGAACTTATATTGTATTCTTGTCCATAGAAAACTTATGTCAACACTAAAAAGGGATTACATAATTGTAGAGTCATAGAGATGGGAAGTTTTCATTGAGGCACTCACGTGCAATTCTCGATGAAATTCACTATCATCTTTCAAATGATCACATAGTTAATAGATTGCCAATGCATAAATTCTTGTTTCTAACAAGAATGCATCAGTTAGCAGTACAACTTGCAGCTAATTACTCGCTGGGGCTGGACTCCAAATATTTATATTAACCCTGCTGCTAGTATGAGTTCAGTAGTAGTTCTAACAGCAACAACATAGATATTGGCATCTAAGTAGCAGCTCCCATTAAGTGGCACAACTTATTTTAAATTTATACAATTCAGTTAAAGCCAGTTCACAATCACAAAGACATTTCCTACTTACCGTCATAACGGAGATATGTCCATATACGTTCATAGAAACTTTTGTATTAGAAAAATATAAATAACAATGTACCTACAGCTATAGATCCCAAAACCTGGCCTAATTACTCCATCTGCCATTGCCATAAGAAATCAACACAATCATTATTCGTGATCCTCTGGGTACAAATCACGTACACGTTTAAGATGCCCTGTTAGCCACAAACAAACCACTACAATCATATTCACTTGCACAAGTGAAACAAGAGTACATTGATCTCTTTCCTAGTTATATTCCAGCAAATTCCATAAGATTTCTACTATCCAGATTGGGGTTCCTCAACCTCAGCATTTCAGAACCACTGATTATATGCTCAGAAACAAACGAAAAACAAAAAAAATTAACAGACCCATCAGCTCCTCCAACAAACCTCAAATTAATCAAACGGAGAAAGGGATGTGTAGCTTACAATCCACAATATACATTAACAAGTTCTTCCCCTTTAATCAAGATATGCACTTTAATCAACGAAATGAATAATCAACCCATAAATGGAAGCTTTGCAGTACACGCACACGCGCGCATGACCAGAAGAAGGATAAAAGAAACAGTGAAATTCGAGCAAGAAAATGACCTTTGGCCCTTGTGGTGTCCGCCTCCTTGTGAAGATTATCAAGTTGTTGGCGGAGATTGTCGGTAGCAGGCGGAGAAGCCAAGCAGAGCGTCTTCAAGCGCGAGCAAGGCCGCCATTGAGCTGAAACTGCGCCCAAGTTCAGTGCCATCATGTCGTCTCTTTCTACCTTGTTCTTGTTCCCTAATAATATGATAACTAGGGCTATAAACGAGTCCAACCGAACTGAGCTCGAACTTAGGGCTCAACTCGTTAGATAAACGAGCCTGAAATTGAGTTCGAACTGGAGCTCATTAAAGCCTCGAGCTCGAGCCTTAACGAGCCGATCTCGGGCTTTAACGAATCGAGCTATAAAAAATTATAAAAAAAATTATATTTTCGAGCCTTAGCGAGCCGAGTCGAGCTCGGCTCGTTAGCCAAAATTTTAAATGAGCTCGAGCTCGGCTCGTTAAAGTCTCGAACTCGAGCCGAACTCGAGCCTTAACGAACCGAGACGAGCCAGACTCGTTTAATTTAACAGCACTGCTGACAACTAAAGGGATGTACCCAAACTGGATAACTGAAAAAATATGACATTTATTAAGATGGTAGATATTGTGGAAAATGACAGAAATTAAAATTAAATAAAATAGAAAATTCTCATTTTGAAAATTTTGATAGATTGGTGTATTTGCAACATTTATTTAAATCGTAATTTAAGTGCAAAGTTTTAATTGTAAGCATAGTTTTTAAATAGGGTCTGACCCATCCCAAAAATCGGCCCGATAAGGTTTCTGGGTCATTGGGTCACTGATTCAACTGCTAGGCCACTGGATCTACGTGAGTAAGCTATACCAAACATATAAGAGCATCTCCAATGGTTAGGATGGATTGGCAAGTGAATAGACGGACTTTCTTCCACGTGGAAGGAATAGAAGGTCATGTTGATAAGTAATTCTCCAGTAATAGATGTCTACACACTGCAAATGATACACGTGGTTTTTTATTTTTTTTGTTCTAAGAAAGCAAAAAAAAAACTTGCACAGAAATTGTCCAACAAATTTTGAACCAAAAATCACACTGTATTTTTTGCTTGCAACAAACTTTAACAAACTTTGAACCAGCAAAAAGACCTAGGCTCTATAAATTATTTTGTAATACACAATAAATGTTGCTTCTTTTTTTCTTTTTCTTTTAATGTTGCAACAAACTTTAACAAATTTGAATTGCAACAAACTTTAACAAAAAAGAAAAA